GAGCCGCGTTGACATCAGTGAAAGACCACACAATGTGATGCAGTCTTATCAGATGGTGTCGTCAATGTTAAGAGCACGGACAGGTGAGCAGTGTGTGGCACCGGAGATAACGTCACAAGTGAAGCTTTGAGTGGCAGACCTGTTTAGCCAGAATGAGCCACGCAATGTCTTCTCGAAACCTTCACCCTAGAAAACAAGCCAAGGAAATTCACCAGACTCACCATGAACATTGATTTATAAACAAGACAAGGTGCAGCCCTGAGACGTTTTGTTCATGCCACAGCTAGAAGAAGATCCCCCACCAGAGTGAGCTCTAGGGAGACCCACCAGGAGAGGGTATGTGGCCTACTCTTCCAGGCTGGCCAAGGCGTCTTGGAATCGGTGGGAGTACCCACACGTCACCCCACAACACACAAACTGTTCTTTGGTTCTTTCGGTAAAGTCACGTATAAAGATAAATAATAAATTAAATTAAATACTAGCATACCTAATTTAATTTATTCTTTTATCTTTATACGTGACTTTACCGAAAGAACCAAAGAATAATTCCTGCAGTCACGAAAGCTCCAAATTAAACACACAAACTGCCCATTGAGCAACATACCACTGGGTAGATTTAACAAACGTGCACCATTGTCGCAACTGCTGCGCCGTGAGATTGAACTGGTTTGCCTCTGGATTTGCACGTTCAGTGTGCTGAACCATGGCACCACATCCCCGCTTGACGATGCAAACATTTATAATAGACAGACGTTTAAGAGCAGAGTGACTAACCAACTTAAAGTTGGAGATCGCACTTGACAATTAATAAACTGTGGAGTTGACGAATGACACGTGTTGGGTTTTGTTTGTTGTTAATGTGAAGCAGTTATGCAGTCTCAAATTAATATGCATTTTAATTTACAACGCGTAACTGATATATTACTTTTTTTATTTCACAAAAATCAATTGACAAGCACATGCAAGTCAAATCATGTAAACACGAACCGTTGTAAATGAAAGTACATGTTCGTCTGAGACTTCATGACTGCATCACAACAATTAAAACCCGTTTAACTTTGTCTGCTTAAGAGTGTCTAGTCGTTCGTGTTTAGTGCAACCTCCAACTTTCTGTTCGCTCTCAGGCGTGAAGAAGGCTCTTACATTTTACTGTTGATAAAAGTTCAAGCTCGAGCCTTGCAAATGCTTGCTCATGCCACTCGAGGATGCCTGCTCTCTTCATCCACGTTGACCAACAACATGTTGGAAGAGCTGGGAAACAACCCGTCACTCTTTACCCCTCCACATGGGACCTGCGGATCAAGTCACTGCTTTGTGTCATTTGATGGACAGAAAGCGTTGAGTAGGGATTTGAGAAGCTTGTACCATTGTTGCAACTGCCGTGCCAAATAGAGGAACTTGAACCGACAAATTCTGTGTTGCAAGGTCCAGCGTGCTAACCGTCGTACCAGGGACGCGTTCCTTTGCTATTGTAAGGACGTGATTATGATGAATGTCGGTTGGCCTTTGTATTTGTCCATTCGTGCCTCTGCTAATGCGGGCCATTAATATTTTATTTGATGTTTTGCATATACAGTAGTGCACAATGACGTCCTTTACTTAAGGCGGAAAAAAGCCCATTGAAGTGCATGTTCTCTTTTGTTACAATGAGCTGTATGACTAGAATAAAGACAAAGACCCCCCGTATAGGCTTAACAGACTGTTGGGGCAAGTGCTGTTAGTGGGCACTTATGAAGCCCGCCACGGCACACGAGGGGGTGGGTGTCCAACACCACGCCCGACCGCCTTTGTCTCCATAGTGGCGATGTTTACCCACCGTACCAGGTATTCATTTGAGGCTGAGTCGACCTAAGGGAGCCCAAGAACCGGTTAAGATATTCGTCACCGATGTTGGCCGTGAGCGAATCGAACTCTGGTCGCCGGATTCGTAGTGCAGCGCGCTAACCGCTCCACTACTGCTCCCCACACTCCCACTTTATACACAGAGAGACATATATTACATGCATCTGTATACATTATATGGTCTCTTTCTTAACATAAACTGTATATACTCGTACTACACTTGGAATATATATATTTTTAAAAAGAACACGTCTTCCCCTTGAGAGGAAGAATCTAATAAACAAAACATGAGCTGCATAAAATGTCCCGGACATATTGATTTTCCTAAAATAATGCAGCAGCCTTTCAAACGCAATTTGAGTCCTGTAAGCTCTGAGACATGTTTACGTTAGTACAGGCGTGCTTTGCCAAATCCTCTCCATCTGTCCGTCGGAGCAACTTCAACTGAAGCTGCCGCAAGAGGTCAGTCCCCCAAAGTCGGACGCCCAGGAGAATACGATGTCAAACTTTCAGACGATGACAAAAAGCCCCTACCCCTAAGGTTTAGTTAAAACGTTATCTTTGGCGCGTGTTTTGCCACCCATTTGGCAGCAGCTGTGAGTTGCGCTGGGTCGACTTATAAGAGGTGGTGTTGTGTTCCACGTAAGAATTAGGCCGTGTTTCTGTTCCTTCACCAGTTAGCAACCAATCTCTGCTCCCATATCAACAGCACCGGTTCACGCGTGACCAAATCACTCTAAATGTGCCCCAATGTGGTCAGATCTCAAGAGCTATGTGATCCAGTTACTACTTTCATGGTTACACTGCCGATGAACGTCGGTTGTTGTAGGCTTTGGCTGTGGGGTAACCAGTGAATGGCAGTACATCTGTGGATTCTTGATAATCTTTCCTGTCAGAGCTTTAGGTCTTACCTCCCTTATATTTGTGAGACATTCCCCAGGTACTACGGCTTATTCCTGCATGCCAAACACTTATTAAATTGAATTAGCCAAACATCCGGCTGCAGCCTAAAACGTAAAGGTTCAGCCCTGCGGTGTATTGCACATACCACTTCTGGCAGAAGAACCTCCACTGCAGGGAGTTCTAAATTACCCCCTTTAGAGTTCATAATCAACGTTTTTGGGTTTAGATCGCGCTATTTATAAATGTGTCGTAACCCTCCACAACCCGACACGGCCAATCAGCAAAAAAGTGTCACGTTGACAAAAGACAAATAGTTCACTGCTTTAGCCCACCGGTGTGTTGAAGAGTGACTCCACAACATTTACAGTTTTTGAGTACGACGTTTCGCTGGTAATTACATCCAGCATCATCGGGCAATTCGCCAGAATGGCGAAAAGCCTACGTGTTAAACCCCCTTTAGAGTGTGCGTTGTACCACTCTTCCAGGCTGACGAGACATCCTGGAAGATATGGGAATACCTACACTTTACCTGACCACGTGCAACCTGCCGATCGATCTAGTGTGGCGTGCCCATGTGCACTGGTGGGTGGGAACCTCTTGTAAAGGTGTCCTGAGGCTCAGTGAGGGTTACATGAGTAAATAAAGATAATTATTATTATTACTGATAGAGAACCCGTTGCTCTGCAATGGAAAATAAAGAGTCAGCTGCCATTTTCATGACAGCTGCCTCTTATTAAAAGTAATCTACTTTTTAACATAATAAAATGGCAAAATAATACATATTGCGAGGGTTGTTTTTTTATAATCTCGAGGGTTTAAAGAATAATCTGGTGAAAGAATAACATTAATATGAGCACAAGTTGATCAGCTAGGCAAATGTGAAATGATCCGTGTTATTCCTCTGTATCCCTGACTCCCACCTTCTATTATACGTCTTCCGAATTTCTTTCCGCCGTTTCAACCCAATTAAATGTTTAGGCGTTTCACGGAAAATCCCATTCATCCAGTTAACCGAGATAGTTCTCGTGGCAACGGCTCGCAGCAGCCACTCACGATAGATACATCGTCGGGGTGGATAGGAGCCCGGCCAGCAGCCAGCCAGAAAACTCAAGGCATCGATAATTATTGTCAACAATCGTATGATTACGTGGCGCCTTTTCAATTTGAATCTGCGTCCTGGTGCACTCTCACGCAGCCACGTGCTCACAGGGTCAGAAGGTCTTCGACAAAGCGATCGCGTGCTCACAGAGTAACGCAGCACAGAGCCTGCGGCAAGGTGCCTGCACCCCACTCCATCAAGCGCGTTTCGTAACCGGGGTCCGTGCTCAGAAAGGGGGTGGACTGCAATGCTCACTCAGAAAACTAAGCAAATATTATATATATATATAACCAGCACTCATACATAAAAAAAAATGTAGTCATGTTTTGGTGCATGGCTTACACATTCGACAGGATCATGCTATGTGCCGTACTAATGTGGTGGTTAGCTGTGTGTTACTCGCAGATCCTAAACCCTTGTTAATGGGAATGGCCAATCATCTGCTGCGCGACTTAATTTAACTATTTATCAGGTCCAGTGAATTTCATTGGTGGGTTTTCACTTCGCACTAAACAGCCACAAACATTACAGTTACGTCTTTCTTAAATCAGAATTCAGGTGGTGCTCATCTCCTGCTTACAGCCCTGAGCGAGTGTTGGAAATTCTACATTCCCATGGTCGGGGGGGGAGGGGGTGAGTCTCTCCAAAGGGACAACCACTGGTTAACTTTGCCAAAAAAGTGGTCCTCAATGTGTCGTGCCAAAGTTAGGATTTTAACTCGCAATATTTTGGTTGTGAGCCACTCGCAAGACTGCTGAGCCATCTAGCTGGCTGTGATAGCTCATTATAGACACTGACTGTCAAAATAAATGTAGATATTTAATGGTATCGGGCTACACGTAGCTAACAAGCTGACTACCACTAATTTTTCTCCAAAATGTGTTTTTCAGTTGTACCCAAATGATGTATATATGTCCGACGTTCCCTTCTCCCTGCTGGAAGTACAGCTTTATACTTCAACCTGATGTCAAACATCTCGTTTTTAAATCGAGTGTACAATTAACCAAAATGAGTTGTCACGACTCCGCTGTGTGTAACTTTAGGAATTTGCAAGGCGTGGGCAGTGCCAGTCGAGACCGGCGACGGGGAGAGAAATCTTGCGCCTGATATCAAACCATGCCTCTTTATGTCTCTTTTTCATTTTCACCGACCGCAGCGTGGATGTTGAGGCACAGGGCCCAGAGACGGTCACGTGCACAGACGGCTCGCTCAGCCGAGACGCCGCGGCGGCCTGCTCCCCGGCCCGCGCGTCCGACGACACCTCGGCCTTGCCAGGCACCTCCGCCCAATCGCGGCAATCGACGTCGCGCAGGGCCAGCTTCCAGCGATCCAACTCGGCGCTGCGCCGGGCGCAGCAGCAAGGGGACGACGGGACCACGGCTGCGACGGCCGCTGCACGGCGGAAGCACTCGCTCGCCGGGAGCTACGAGCTCTCCTCCGACCTGCAGGATAAACAGGTGACGTTCACCCCTCGCTTTCCTGCGCCCCGTTATCAATATTCGTGATGGAGCCCTGTACTCGTGTCTATCATCGCCGGCAGTAGTAGTCGCTGCTTAATTCTTTAGTTTTCAAGGTAGGAGAATGTTGACATCGTGCTCTTATCATTGCTGTAACAGTTAATATAGTTGCTTATTTTCCCGCACGTCCGATTAGCACGGTTGACAACGTACGGTGCGAAGGAAGTTCAACATACATACATACACCGTGGGGCCAGGTCAATGGCGACAATGATAGTTGTGTGACTGCAGCAGAGATCATGCTATTCTTGCCACCTCCTAGGCTTTAAAAACAGGACATATCTTTGGAAGAAGAATATGTCACAATACTGGAAGAGCGAAGAACCACATGTAAATGCGCTGTTTTGACCAGTGTATTTATATGCAGTTGACATGAACTGAAATTTTTAATGACTTGAAAGGACTTTCAGCTTTTCCACCGCAAAAAGAGGAGGATCCTGGGAAAATCAGGACAGGTGGCAACTCCATCTCACAAGCCATATGGCTGCCAGCACCGATGGCAAAGAATGGATTCTCAGAGATTTAGCCGGCTCCTGATTTTGGTCTCCTAACAATTTGATGAATTGTCACGATTGAAATATCACAATTGAGTTCAAGATTTAATGATCTTAAAACTTTTTAGCGAATGAAAGCTCCTCTGGTGGCTGCCGGGGTGACATGAAATAATTCCTAAAATACCGCATGGACAAATCGATAATAATTAATTCTCACAGCAACTATTCGATGCACGTATCTGGAGCAGACAACATGGATTTCAATCAATGAATAAGTGCATTGTGTACACCTCCATGGGATACATTTGATAATAATGAGGCATTTAGTTGATCCTTAAATGCCTTGATACAATAGGGCAACTAATGTCAATCATCACTGGCATTAGTAGTTGCTGCATACATTTTTGTTTTCAAGGTAGAAGAATTACATCATGCTCTGTCATTGCTGTAAATGTTAATATAGTTACCCATTGTAGATGCATTGCCAATAGCGAGATGATCGCCGGCAATGATTTCCCTCAAATTGCTTTCATGCCTCACAACCTTAACTCTTGCAGTCATTAAATCAGAACTGCCTTTGATTGCCCAAAGATGCCTATGAGGGAAGGGGGGCTCCTCTCGGTAATCCCCAGAGGCATCGCTGGAGAGTCCAACACTGCCTCTGACAATTGGTTACAGCAAGCCACAATCACGTCCACCTGGTCCGACACCGCAACAGGATTGGGTCAATCAATGGCAATGACTGACCAACCAGCAACCTGGTGAGGCAGCATGCTGACCAATACATTCCGGTCCGATTGCTCAATCGTCCGAGCAAATACGGTCATAATGCAGGCCACTCTAAAAACTGGCTATTATGACTCAGCGTACAATTTGTTGACCACCCGGTATATCATTTGTCATCATTTCACGTGTGTTTAAACGGCCTTTGTCCGTTGTGACACGCAATAGTAGAGACATATACAACTGAGCAAGCAGAATAATAAATGACCACTGTAGCCCTATCATTTGCCCACATGGACGCTTAATTGGAGCAGTGAACTTTATCTGTGTGTGCCAAATGCCAGGCTTGGCACCAGTAAGCAAGGCTCTGTTGAGTCATAGGCCACTTTTATGTACTTTGTGATGTATGGACACTGCCAAACCAAATGCTGCTATGATTAATAGTGGTTGTTCCGATGGTCCCAAAAGAACTTGCAAAACATTACAGCACTTGTGCAAGTGCTACACTGCTCATAACATGTACACGTACGGAAACTTTTGTAAATCCACCGCTGGATGAGGGCCACCCACACACCGTGTGGGTCGTGAGGGTTTCTTTTTGCCACGCAGGTCAGTGCAGGGTGGTGAATGGCGCAGTGGGCACAGATGTGGGGGACTTCGTACACAGTACAGCGATGGATTCTTCTACACCACCCAGTTCTGGCCACAACATTTGTCCTGCAGCAGCCACTAAACGGCTGTTTTTGTACGGTGGTCTTTCAGTCAAGAACTATTCAAACTTTAGCCCCACATTGCTCCTGAGATACGATGAGGCCGGGTGCATTCCGGGTAATGTGGTCAGAGTAGTGTATAATAAATATACTCCCAAAAATATGCATGGATACCTGCATTTTCCATTATTCAGCAACGAGTTATTACATCTTGTCACCCGGAGGCATGCACTGAGGACACGCGTTGGTGTGATGGAAATTGATTGCGAGTAGAATGTCTCTCCTTTGGTTAGGAGTGTTTCACTTAGAGGAGAGAAAAATAACTCCACCAATCCACCTCCCCCCACCCACACTACCCGTGGCAAAGTAGCGTGTCATGGTGTCATGAGCAAAGAACGTCTTGTGCTCAAGCAGCCACAACGTTGGCTTGATTCACAATGCGTACAATTATTGATGAGCGCCAAAGTGGTCCTGGAAATTTAATGCGAATTGCGTGAACTCGCAGTCGTTGCTCGTATTGGCTGCCCTTGTTGTTTTGTTTGCCAAGTCCATGCATTCCGAGTAAAAGGAATGCATCAAGCCTGCTTTTATTGACATTTTAGCCTCGTGTACAGATCCCTAAAGTGGGAATCGAATCTTGTGAGCCAATCACAATCGCTCAGCGAAGCAGCGGTCATTGGTTTACTGTAATAAGAGTAGGACAAATGTACCTCAGCATTTGAAAGTGATGCTTCTGCCTGAACACACCCGACACGAGTGTTTTCGCTCGACAGTAAACTGCTGAGAGTGCACGCGTATTTTTATTTTCGCCGCCTACGTTTTCATGGTTGTGCTGTACCGCTCTCCAACGCGTTTTCAGATTGTACCTCGCGTTATCCAGCACGACGTCCGATGTAACGCTCCACGCGCCCCGGGGGCTTCTTTCGTGACCGCGACTGAAGCTCTCAGCATGTGGAGTGAAACGTCGGACACCGCGCCAAACTCGCCCGAGAATTGCACGTTGTTATTTTTTCGTTTGTTCCCAGGTGGAGATGCTGGAGCGTAAATACGGGGGCCATTACATCAGCCGCCGTGCAGCGTGCACCATACAGACCGCCTTCCGAGAATACCAGATGAAGAAGCAGTTCCGGAGGATCCGGGACTCCATGTGTGAGAGCCGTGTCTCCAAGGGCACTCGGATGCAGCTACCGACCCAGGAGTCCCCCGTTGCGGGGAAGGCACCACCACAAGGAGGGCTTGCACCCACAACGGCCGTGACGGCCGTGATTGTGGCCTCCGCAGACCGGAAGGCCGAGGCCAAAGAGGGCCCGAAGCGGACGCGGCATGGCGGGCGGCAACAGGGAGACACAATCACGGAGCTGGAGGACGCATTCTCCAAGCAGGTCAAGTCGCTCGCAGCCTCCATCGACGATGCGCTCAACTGCAGGGGCCTGAGCAAGTCGGACGAGGAGAAGCTGGACTCGCCGTCAGCGGGGAACGATGGCAGCTCCTCGACGCTGACGCTCCTCCCCAAGGACGAGCTGGCGGAGGACCCCAGCCAGGCGGACGACGGCATCGTGAAGGACAAGCTGGCCGCGTCGTACAGCGACATCACGCTGTACATCGACGAGGACGCCATCACGCCGCCGTCTCCGACAAACCGTATCTCTGCCGCGCCAGCAGTAGCGACGGCGGCGGCGGCGGCGGCCGCGGCCGGGTCGTTTATTGCGCCGGACAGATTCCACTCGGGGTGCAGCATCTCCGAGGGCAGCCAGACGCACACGTACGTCAGGAGCACGTTACCCAAAACGACCGTCGCCTCCCAAACCGTGAACACGGCCAGAGACATGCGGGCGATGCCCATCGTGGAGAAGGCCCAGGTTCTCATGGACTCCTTGAGCCAGGATGTGCTGAGGAAGCAAAGTCTCTCGGGCCACCCCGTGAGCCCGAAGAGCCCCTCGCGGGGATCCGTCGACTCCGGCTCGCTGCCCGGGGCCAGCATGGTGCGGGTCCTGCCGCCGGAGGCCCCCTCCTCTCTGCGGCAGGGTGGGGGCCTCAGCTTGGGCGTCAACGGGAGCAGGCAGAGCAAGGCCGACTCGGACTTCTCGGACGCCGACAACGACAGCATCAACAGCACGTCCAACTCCAACGAGACCATCAACTACGGGTCGGAGACGTCGTCGCACACGAGCGCGCGCGACCCCGCGCTCACGCGGCCCGGCTACCACAAGGACGCGCAGGGGGGCTGCGACTCGCCCGCTTTCAGCAACGACATCATCCGCAAGCGGCAGTATCGCATCGGACTCAACCTCTTCAACAAGTAAGACGGCAACCCCGCAGGGGAGGTCGGACAGGCGCGTGGACACACTTTCGAAGTTTGGGGGTGGTGAGGGGGGGATGCGGGGCTGTCAAATTGTCATTGATTAAGCCGGTCCACGCTTGAGAGATCAGCTGCACGCAACTGAATCGTTTTGCACGTGCTTGTCTCTCCGAGCGGTTGCGAGTCCTGAGCGATCGTAAAAAAATCCCTTTCCGACTCCTAAAGAACAATTACCGTACTGGCTTAGTATGGAGCCTACCGGTCATCCGTGGCTATGTATTTAACGGTTTAATCATCAGCATGTTCAGCTTAATCAGCATTCACGTCAGCTTGTTGAAGGGAGAAAAACGCGGACTCAGCAATGCAATGATTACATTGTCCAAAATATTGTGGGTGTCCCTTAGCCATAACCAAACACGGCGGTTACCAGCCACCTATACGGCCCACATCAGCTGAAATCCTTAGCACGGACCACTACTATCAGTTGGTGGAACGTGGTTGGCATGGGCCCTGGCGCAAGTAACGAGATGGGGACCCTCTGTCCAGTTTCTCTACCTCTTTTTCCCCCCAGCCTGTGTGCCCCGGTGCAGTGGCACCTCCTGATTCCTCACATCGCTGGGAGTACTCTCCAAATGTATTCAACCGAATGACCCTGAAATGTATGGATCTCGTTGGGTCCTTTGAGAAGCCGAAGCAGGGGTTGAGGCTGGGTCATTACTGAGCTGGGAGAATCCAAGGGAATAAATACCCGGCGTTTGGCAGCACAGCGGTGTGCCGCGTGTATGAGGAGCTCTGAGTGTTTCCTCTTCGCATGTGTGACGGGTTTTCTCCAGCTACCCCCTCTTTGCATTTACATGCAAAACACTCGTGAATGGAATTGGCCATGATACAACTTGCAGGACCCTCCTGCGAAAGAGTCTCGAGACTTAGTGAGGCTCTCCTGGGAAAAAGAAAGGCCATGTATTATCGTATTGTCATTGCCATTTCTCTTTTCAGATGTGAGATAATTAGGGTCGACAGCTATATGACAAATATATACCCTCAAGGGAAATTAATTTGTGTCCAATTACGATTTTAAAAGTTATTTTCAGATTGAGCAATGGTGCTTTATATACAGTGTATATATATAAAACCATGGCTGTAGCTAGAACTGACTGTCTCTTCTCTTTAAATTATATTTAAATATTCTCCTTCAGTGTATTCTCACCCATGATGCACACGTCCCACTATCTTGCACTGCGTCTTGAGGTGCCTTTGCATTTAGACGCGATATAAATCCAAATTGTATTACATTATGTATATTGTAAAATATATATTTTGTTTAGCTTCGCCAAAAACACCCGACACGCTCCATTATTAATGCCTCACAGCTGTGCATAGCACAGAGGTCTCTGTGGAGCGGCGCAGGTGCAAATCATCAACTGTGTGGGTGATGCATTTGATTATTCGGTCACTTCTTTCACTCCCCTAAGTTATTGTGTGCATGTATGTTGAACTTCTTTCGCACCGCAACGTAGCAGCCAACCGTGATAATCCGTCGGCAGAATGAAGCTTGAGCAAAGGAAAAAAAGAGGCCCCAGTCACGCGATTCGTATTTTTTTTACACTCAAGAAATTTTCACCGCGTCGGTTTTCGCGGTTGGGCTGTATAGCTACGTGATGTTGTTTTTTACAGTTAGTACCACGTGTCGTTCGGCATGACTTCTGATCTTTTGTTCCACGTCCCCGGAGCATCTTCAGGAACGGAATCACATATCTATCGGGCTGTTGTCTGGCTTTTGGATTCCCGTGGAGTGCAGCGTTGGACTATTGTTGAAAAAGAGATTCATAGCTCATTGGATTTCTCCAGGATGAATACAGATTCTTATTCGGATCATGCTGAACAGCGCACACTGCACAACCTGTTCCATAAATCGTGCAAGACGTTCAATGGGAAGCCAGGAAACAACGTGTATGGTTTAATATAAAGCCTAGCAGGCCTCATAAGCGACATCTGTTCTCATCAATAACAAGGAAATGCATGGAGGGCTTAAATATTACCGTGAAAGACGTGCACAATGCCGTGTGACATTTGAGCCAATAATCCTTCAACTGTTTAACAATCACTTAAATGGCGAGCAGATGCACTGTGAAAAGCAGCATTTGTCTTCATCACCTCGTGACATGTAATGTAAGAGAGAGGGAGAGAGTGCAGATCCGCGTGTGCAGCTGACAAATGAATGATGATACTAATTTAGTGTTGTGGCTGACTTTCACTTAACTTTTACGTAAACTCAAATTTACCCACACTGCATGTTTAAAATTACAAATTTGCCATTTTTATAAGGTGTTATATATATTCATGTATCTCATATATTGTTGTATTAATTCGTTGATGAAATTCGACAGTTGCTAAATGCATGATGGAACACCCAAAATGTACTGCTGAATCCACTCGGGATAAAAGCGAGAAGCAGACTTCCCCAGCCGGTTTAGTCCTCTCGACAAAGGCCGTTGTGCCCAAGTGCACACATCACATGACCCGTTTTGCATCTCAACCTTTTCGCTCTGCGCATGTAGCATGGCCAAGTTTAGGTAGAAAGTCCAGGAGGAAATAGCTTTTTGTTATTTTAATAATAACCATGCGTCAATCTCGTAACCCACGTTTAGGCTGGACCAAAACAAATGCCAATACAAAGGAGACACGTGATATCAATTTTCAATGGATGCCCACATAAGACATCACCGACGTGAGGGGCGACTGGCTGTACTGTACAGAAATGTTTGGAGTCTGCAGCGAGAATTTCTGTCCGAATAGTTCAGGTCGGTTTAGCATCAAAAGTGTGCAACCCTGCCAGTTGAGCCGGTCTGTAAAAGTCAGCTCGATTGTAATTGCTGCAAAACATTGCTGCTGTTTACATAACAGCATGCCGATGTGCATGTTGACCAAAGCCAAGTGATGTGTGCTTTTAATACAACTGCATGAACTGCATCTGTCCAGTGCAAATGTTACGCATGCATAAAGCATGTCCAGTGCCCCATTGTTCACAACGGTCAAAAAATTCAGGAAGTGGAACAAATGGTCCCATAATTGCTCCCTAGGTTTCAAAAGGGGACGACATTTGAGATGTTTGTGTGTGTGTGTTATTATTGCAACTAAATAAATAAATACAAATTACTTGCCGTTACAAATGATCCAAGAAAGGAAACCGCAGTGGTTGGGACATGTCTCGAGAATGACTACCAAATATGGCAATGCACACCAGAAAATAAGGATTGAGAAGTAGAGGCAAACGGAGCGTGCGTTCGACAAAGCGGAGGTGGGTGGAGGGGATTGGCGGTGACCGAAGTGGTGAAATCGGTAGAGAGCGGACAGCGATAGAGTGACTTCACCAAGACCCATCATTGCTGCTGAGCAGATGGACAGCGCTCGAAGAAGAAAATGAAATACCGCTTGGGAGCTGTGGCGCAGCAGCGAGCGTACCGCGCTGCGCACTCGGCAACTTGGGTTCATTCCGTATTACAGATGATGTCAATGTCGAGTGATATCTGGCCCCTCTTGAATTATGAAGCATGTCTTCTTGGTTCTTTCGGTAAAGTCACGTAGAAGGGAAGTAATAAAATAATAAAAATAAAACATAATAAAATAATTCTCACGACGTTTCGGCCACAACGCAAGCAGCCGTTCTCAGGTGAATTTTATTACTTCCCTTCTACGTGACTTTACCGATAGAACCAAGAAGATGAATCCCTGCAGTCACGAAAGCTTTAAATCGAAAAATTATGAAGTATGGTTAAAAAAAACATGAATGACACAGTGCGGAGGGGTTGACAATAGGCAGTAAATTATTATTTTTACAATCACTCAGACTCTCTGTGCGCAGCAGTTTTCATGTTGAATTAAACATCGCCGCTGCCAGCAACTAAGAATCGATGCTTCAGTGGCCGAGACTAAATCGTGACTTAACACCGTCCAAAGTAGTTTCGGGCGCGTTATTGCGAATGCATTATTTTCGTGGCGGAAAGCGTTTTTGCGATCAGTGAGAGGTTCCTTATGAACGTGATCATAAATAGTTAAGGTATACCTACTGGAGCTTCCGCTTAAACTAACACGCAATAAATAAAGTATATCGTGACAGAGACTTAATGGGCTTGCCAAGACAGATATAATGCATTACGTTGTAATGGAACTTCATTAAGGGGCAGCGACCCACCAAAATAATAATGCAATACTTGTGTTATGACTGTCGTTTAAAATAAACAAGTAATTAAGTTTTGTCCTGGTGGATGTCACTATTTTTATCAGCCTTTTCAAACCGAATTGGCTGCAGGCAATGCGGTTGCAGCACTAAACTTACACAATTGTGCTGCACCAAATCATTTGGGTATGATCGGAAACAGACCGTTACCTTCAGCCCATTCCGACAATGGAATCTGTAATAGTCCCATGGAGAGATCCAAAAGGAAAAAAGGGAGTTTATTCTAGCAGAAACTGAATAGGTTTATATGTACATTCCATAAATACGACGCAAGAGAAAAACACAATGTATGAAATGCATTTGGCATAAAATAAACCTTATATTGCATTGTATTTTTTTCTTTTGCACATTTAATATGACCACAGTTTTCGACCAAGCAAAAACATATGCTGACCCAAAGACTAGACTCTGTAACATTGAATAGCCTGTTTTCATGTTCCTGCAGATAAGAGGCACATTGGCACTCTGACTGATTTCTTCATCCCACAGAATCCGTCTCGGCCTCAGCAATGCAAACGACTGATTATGATGTTGATGATGATGCTTTAATTGGCTGATCAGTGGGGACTGAACGATTAACCTGACCCTGGTGATTTTATATATTATGGTGGTTCAGAGTCGTACTTCATAACTAATTCATTGCAGTGGTAAATATAGCAGTCTCGACTGACTATAACAGAAGAAGTCATGGTCCTGTAATTTCACCGTGCTATTTAGTGCATTGGTGAAGATGGGTTTCCAGGGGACGGTCCAGGCATCACTT